GCAGTGTAGCTTTGCGCGAAATTCAAAACCAAACTATAGTTAAACTAAATTTATTATGTTTTCGAATATATATTTATCATTTTTATTTATTTATTATTGTGTTTTTTATTATTTTTATTATAAGCTATATTCTATGTTATATAACTGAGATACGTTTTTGTATTTCTAGTGTAATCATGAGGCAGGGCTACAGAAGTCTACATCTGGCTCTGGTACTTCCGCCCAGGTGCAGCAGCCTACAATTGCAGCTTATTGTAGGGAATCAACTAAATATAACTCTACGCACATCACTAACAAACTCATCAGTTTTATTGCCAGTACACTGCAACTCTTCTCAATGGTGGAATAATAAGATATTCAAGCTTATGGCAGCCATGGATTCTCGGTATATTATTCCCAGATGCAAGCATCTGTTCACAATAATGCTTGCAGACGGCTTGTATGGGTAATGTAATGGCATGTAAACTACGTGTACCTGGTGATGACAAAACCTTGTCGAAACGTTGTACATTTGCTGTTTTGTTAAACTTATATTAAAGTTTTCCTTCATTACCCATTCAAGCCGTCTCCAAGTATTATTAGTCTCTAAGTGGGTTCTTTGTCATCGAATCTGTCCACAATGTTGATCGAGAGCAGATTTGATGAAGTCCAACAAAAAGTCATCTCTCTACTGCAACTTGTATCCAACATCAATGTTACTGTGGCTATCTGGAGTAGCAGACAAATGCGCAGCTTTCTTGGAGTCACTGGTCATTTTACACTTGACTGAATAATGCAAACAGTCATGCTGGCATGTCGGCGTTTTATGGGGCATCATACATCTGATAATATTGCTGCTCAATATGATAAAATAATAAATCTCTTTAACATCAACGACAAGGTATCGTATGTGACATCTGATAATGCATGATCAAGGCTTTCTGTATTTGAACCGCAAACACGACCTAGTGTGAGAGATGGTGATAGCTCATCTACAGAAGATAAACGTTTGGATGAATCTAAATCAGCAGAAAATTTATCCGGATTTCTTCTTGGACATGACTCCTGCTTTTCTAACATGCTATAGCTTGTGGTCAGGGATAGCATGAAAAAACGCTAGACCAAAGTATGATCTATTGTGTGCTACATGCGAAAAATCAACGCAAGCAACTGATCTACTTGAAGGAGTAGCCAGAGTTCAGTCAGTAACACCAACACGATGAAACTCGGAAACTAAGATGATTACGTCTTTTTTTGAAGATTCCCCAAGAGAAGTTGGATAATCTAGATGCTGGTACATTAAAACTTACTTTTCATGATCGAACTGTGCTTGCAGATTTAGTGACAATACTGACACCTTTTGAAAAGGCAACAGATTTATTGTTACTTTCAGTTATGTAGTGCCATGTGCTTATGGGCTGATGATTAAGATTGACAGCATGCAGTCCAAATATAATTTCAATCTTTTCTCTGCACTGAAGAAATCTGTTTACGTCTGGCTGACTCAGTATGAGCAATGAAGTGTCTTCTGTTTGGCTTTGGCATTGAATCCCAGATTTAAACTTGACTGGTGTTTCATTAGACCTATGGTCTATGATTCCAGTAGAATGCTCCTACAGCAAGTAGCGTAGAAGGTTTCCTCAACAACCAATCCTACAACCTTGGAACCAAAAGAGGACTGTAAATACCAATTCGCAAAGAAGTAAGCCCTTTAGTTTCTTTGCTGCCTCCAAGAAACCAGCCACCTCATCTTTGGAGGATACAGAGATCAACACCTACCTCGATGGTCCTTGCATTCCTGAAGAAAGCAACCCTCTAAATTATAGGAAGATCCATGAAAAATACTTTTCTACCCTTATCGTTACTAGCCAAACGCTACGTGAGCGTTCCAGCATCCTCTGTCCCTGTTGAGCGTTTGTTTAGCATTGGAGGTAAAACCCTCAGACCTGATCACTGCCGCCTCACTGACAAGACATTTGAGAGACTGATGTTCATAAAGAAAAATGGACAGTTCTAATCTCTATAACTCTCCTTAATATATATATATATATATATATGTATATATTATTTAAAACTTTGTTATTGCATCTTGCTGTTTTATCATTATTACATATTACCTGACAAAGTATTCATGAACACATTCCCATGTATCCGTATTCGATCACTTAGCATTTTTCCTGTATTCGTTTGCATATTCATATTCATAAAATTATGGACACTGATTTCCAGTATTCGCCCCTTTCCTCTATATGGTGAATTAAAAAGAACAAGGATTAAGGCAACTCATGTAAACTGAGATGTAAAAATAAATATTTTCATGTTTTTAATATTTACGTTTACCAGTCAGTTGGTTATCTGTCATGCATATCTATTCCGGTCTGGCTGTTTTATATTAGCATTGACTGACAAATGTCTGCAGACATTTCACTGCCAAGTTCGATCGATCAGTAACATACGGATTCACCGAGAGATTATAGGAAATACAAATAAACTTTGTTTCACACTTGCAGAGTATACTTAATACTATAAATATATCTGGAATTAAGTTTTTATGTAATATTTTAAATTATATTTGAATTAAATATCAATTTATATAAACATGCATTGTTGAATAAACATGACTATATTACACAATGCTGTTCTATAACGAAAGAGATTGAGGTATGGATTATATTAGAGCAACATATGGGCCACAGTTCCGACAAACTAAGGCAATTATGTCTAATCGAGGAATTTAAACGTTGTGCACGTGACGACCTCAAACTTACTTAGATGAAAAGAAAGTTGAAATACTACAGGAAGCAGCTGCTCTTTCCGATGACTACACTTTAACACATAAAACCAATTTTCATAAAAAGAAATTCCTACCATCTCAACAAAAACATGTATCTGTTCAATCCACTAAAGTTGAGGATTCTTCTAAAAACTCCAGATCCTCTAGTTCGAAATCTTCACACAGTCGGGCTAAAACTTCATCAAAACCACCAAGGCCTGTCTGCCATTTTTAAAAAAACCTGGTACATGTTAAGACCGATTGTTGGTGTTTGAAAATAA